CTGGCTCCCTTCATTATCGTATATCACTATTTTCACACACTTTAACTCTATAATCTATTTAAAAATACATTTTTCTATACACACTACTCTAAAAAAATTATTTTATATACATGTATGTGTCATGATATAGCTTAATATTTGTATTAGCATTAGATAAATGTAAACACGTGTAACCCTAAATAACTCTCCACGTTTAGGTAAATTCTATATATCTATTCACTGATTCTGTATAAACAAATAACAATTCATTATTTACTTTTGTATTTATGGTTTAGTGTGTTAAAGTTTACGTGAATTATGATACAAAACTAGAAGGATGTCGATAATTATCGTACATGGAGAAGCCTTAAGGTATAAGTGGTTACAAGACCTCAAGTAGGACTTAAGTGGCCCTCAAGTAGGACTTAAGTGACGCTCAAGTAACACCTCAATGGGCGCTCTGATAGGGCCTTAATGGCGGCTTTCAATGTACTGTACCTCTGTGATAGATTTAATTGGATCTCAATGACGGCTCAGATGACTTTCAAGATCTGATGGAGGGCCATCATTTATTTTGTATATATTTTATTTATTTATATATACAAGATGAGTATGGGGTGCACAATAAACTACCACTCACAGGACGAGTATGGGGTGCACAATAAACTACCACTCACAGGACGAGTATGGGGTGCACAATAAACTACCACTCACAGGATGAGTATGGGGTGCACAATAAACTACCACTCACAGGATGAGTATGGGGTGCACAATAAACTACCACTCACAGGATGAGTATGGGGTGCACAATAAACTACCACTCACAGGATGAGTATGGGGTGCACAATAAACTACCACTCACAGGATGAGTATGGGGTGCACAATAACCACTATGGGGTGCACAATAAACTCACAGGATGAGTATGGGGTGCACAATAAACTACCACTCACAGGATGAGTATGGGGTGCACAATAAACTACCACTCACAGGATGAGTATGGGGTGCACAATAAACTACCACTCACAGGATGAGTATGGGGTGCACAATAAACTACCACTCACAGGATGAGTATGGGGTGCACAATAAACTACCACTCACAGGATGAGTATGGGGTGCACAATAAACTACCACTCACAGGATGAGTATGGGGTGCACAATAAACTACCACTCACAGGATGAGTATGGGGTGCACAATAAACTACCACTCACAGGATGAGTATGGGGTGCACAATAAACTACCACTCACAGGATGAGTATGGGGTGCACAATAAACTACCACTCACAGGATGAGTATGGGGTGCACAATAAACTACCACTCACAGGATGAGTATGGGGTGCACAATAAACTACCACTCACAGGATGAGTATGGGGTGCACAATAAACTACCACTCACAGGATGAGTATGGGGTGCACAATAAACTACCACTCACAGGATGAGTATGGGGTGCACAATAAACTACCACTCACAGGATGAGTATGGGGTGCACAATAAACTACCACTCACAGGATGAGTATGGGGTGCACAATAAACTACCACTCACAGGATGAGTATGGGGTGCACAATAAACTACCACTCACAGGATGAGTATGGGGTGCACAATAAACTACCACTCACAGGATGAGTATGGGGTGCACAATAAACTACCACTCACAGGATGAGTATGGGGTGCACAATAAACTACCACTCACAGGATGAGTATGGGGTGCACAATAAACTACCACTCACAGGATGAGTATGGGGTGCACAATAAACTACCACTCACAGGATGAGTATGGGGTGCACAATAAACTACCACTCACAGGATGAGTATGGGGTGCACAATAAACTACCACTCACAGGATGAGTATGGGGTGCACAATAAACTACCACTCACAGGATGAGTATGGGGTGCACAATAAACTACCACTCACAGGATGAGTATGGGGTGCACAATAAACTACCACTCACAGGATGAGTATGGGGTGCACAATAAACTACCACTCACAGGATGAGTATGGGGTGCACAATAAACTACCACTCACAGGATGAGTATGGGGTGCACAATAAACTACCACTCACAGGATGAGTATGGGGTGCACAATAAACTACCACTCACAGGATGAGTATGGGGTGCACAATAAACTACCACTCACAGGATGAGTATGGGGTGCACAATAAACTACCACTCACAGGATGAGTATGGGGTGCACAATAAACTACCACTCACAGGATGAGTATGGGGTGCACAATAAACTACCACTCACAGGATGAGTATGGGGTGCACAATAAACTACCACTCACAGGATGAGTATGGGGTGCACAATAAACTACCACTCACAGGATGAGTATGGGGTGCACAATAAACTACCACTCACAGGATGAGTATGGGGTGCACAATAAACTACCACTCACAGGATGAGTATGGGGTGCACAATAAACTACCACTCACAGGATGAGTATGGGGTGCACAATAAACTACCACTCACAGGATGAGTATGGGGTGCACAATAAACTACCACTCACAGGATGAGTATGGGGTGCACAATAAACTACCACTCACAGGATGAGTATGGGGTGCACAATAAACTACCACTCACAGGATGAGTATGGGGTGCACAATAAACTACCACTCACAGGATGAGTATGGGGTGCACAATAAACTACCACTCACAGGATGAGTATGGGGTGCACAATAAACTACCACTCACAGGATGAGTATGGGGTGCACAATAAACTACCACTCACAGGATGAGTATGGGGTGCACAATAAACTACCACTCACAGGATGAGTATGGGGTGCACAATAAACTACCACTCACAGGATGAGTATGGGGTGCACAATAAACTACCACTCACAGGATGAGTATGGGGTGCACAATAAACTACCACTCACAGGATGAGTATGGGGTGCACAATAAACTACCACTCACAGGATGAGTATGGGGTGCACAATAAACTACCACTCACAGGATGAGTATGGGGTGCACAATAAACTACCACTCACAGGATGAGTATGGGGTGCACAATAAACTACCACTCACAGGATGAGTATGGGGTGCACAATAAACTACCACTCACAGGATGAGTATGGGGTGCACAATAAACTACCACTCACAGGATGAGTATGGGGTGCACAATAAACTACCACTCACAGGATGAGTATGGGGTGCACAATAAACTACCACTCACAGGATGAGTATGGGGTGCACAATAAACTACCACTCACAGGATGAGTATGGGGTGCACAATAAACTACCACTCACAGGATGAGTATGGGGTGCACAATAAACTACCACTCACAGGATGAGTATGGGGTGCACAATAAACTACCACTCACAGGATGAGTATGGGGTGCACAATAAACTACCACTCACAGGATGAGTATGGGGTGCACAATAAACTACCACTCACAGGATGAGTATGGGGTGCACAATAAACTACCACTCACAGGATGAGTATGGGGTGCACAATAAACTACCACTCACAGGATGAGTATGGGGTGCACAATAAACTACCACTCACAGGATGAGTATGGGGTGCACAATAAACTACCACTCACAGGATGAGTATGGGGTGCACAATAAACTACCACTCACAGGATGAGTATGGGGTGCACAATAAACTACCACTCACAGGATGAGTATGGGGTGCACAATAAACTACCACTCACAGGATGAGTATGGGGTGCACAATAAACTACCACTCACAGGATGAGTATGGGGTGCACAATAAACTACCACTCACAGGATGAGTATGGGGTGCACAATAAACTACCACTCACAGGATGAGTATGGGGTGCACAATAAACTACCACTCACAGGATGAGTATGGGGTGCACAATAAACTACCACTCACAGGATGAGTATGGGGTGCACAATAAACTACCACTCACAGGATGAGTATGGGGTGCACAATAAACTACCACTCACAGGATGAGTATGGGGTGCACAATAAACTACCACTCACAGGATGAGTATGGGGTGCACAATAAACTACCACTCACAGGATGAGTATGGGGTGCACAATAAACTACCACTCACAGGATGAGTATGGGGTGCACAATAAACTGTAACTTCTTTACCTCCTTTTGGATGTGTTGCTTATAGTAGAGGGACTGAGGCAGTGAACCTGTCACTGAAGGTAATGAGGTTCGTCACACGCAGTTCTACTTCCAACTTTGTGCTGCCAATGCACGATGGTCCAGCCCAAAATTTAGCATATTTTTAGCTGGGCTTGCAGCTACCTCTTGAGTATACTGATATGGTAATGCTTTGCTTTTCAGGTACAGTGTATGAGCACATGCGGGTACTGATGCATGCACGTACAAACATGTAGATGCTAAAACCATCAGAAGTTTCAAGGTGTCATATGAGAAAGAGAGAGAGTGCTGGGAAGACATGAGACCACAAGCATAACTCTCATCCTGTAACTACACTTAGGTAATTACTCACACACATACTGTAGGCACAAATAGGCGACTACACACACACACGGACACACACATTACAGTTTCAAGTGTAAATATGATAGAGCCCAATAGGCTCAGGAACTTGTACACCAGTTGATTGACAGTTGAGAGGCGGGACCAAAGAGCAAGAGCTCAACCCCCGCAAGCACAATTAGGTGAGTACAAATGGTAGGGGGGCTGGTGGGTGAGTGGACAGCGCTTGGGTCTCATAATCCTATGGCCCGGGAGATCGATCCCCGGCGGAGGCGGAAACAGCTATGGGCAGTTTCTTTCACCCTGATGCCCCTGTTACCTAGCAGTAAATAGGTACCTGGGAGTTAGACAGCTGTTACGGGCTGCTTCCTGGGGGTATGGTTGTGTGTGTGTGTGTGTGTACTCACCTAGTTGTGCTTGCAGGGGTTGAGCTTTAGCTCTTTGGTTCTGTCTCTCAATCGTCAATCAACAGGTGTATAGGTTCCTGAGACTATTGGGCTCTATCATATCTACACTTGAAACTGTTTATGGAGTCAGCCTCCACCAAATTACTTCCTAATGCATTCCATTTGTCAACCACTCTGACACTATAAAAGTT